AGGGAGAGAACTGATTTCTCCAGCCTTCACGGCTCTATTCTCCTGACATAACTCTACCGCTGTAGCCGCTTCCCAATTCAGGGGCCGTATCCTTCGGAGGACGTGGCCTTCGTAGACTGTCGTAGACCGCAAAGACCGATCCAAAATGAGACGGTCTGGCCGATGGAGGATTTCTGCTTTGCATCCCCAGCTGTGCCCGCCCTTACCGACACGTCACAAAGCGCAGCTCCTGTCGCCTTAGCAACCTTGACATCACTTAACTTTTTTTTTTTTTTTTTTGACAGAAACTTGAGGTTTTAAGACCCCTTGGTTTTTTGACAGTTGTTCATCGCTGTTAAGCTGAACTGAAACCCAATTCTTACATTTAAAAATGAAGGATCCGCCCGTTGGAGCCTTTTGTGTCCAGGAAAAGAAGGCTGCATCTCTCGGCCGCCTTGGAAATGGGACAGCCTAGTTGCGCCACTGTGATGCAATCGGTCTTCAAATGCAACCTCTGTGGGGTGCAGCCCCTGAATTGGGACACAGCTTCTGACAGCCTCCTAAACAGGAAGAAGAAAAAAATGCACAAGGAGCCACAAGCAGTGTGGGAGGGGTCGTCACAGTGTGTGACATCCCTCGTTTATAGTATCTCTCCAGGAAGTCATTTGCTTGCACATGGTTTGTGTCACATATAAGTTTGAGTTAAGTCAGGTAAACTGAACACCACATGACCACTGTCTGCTACAGGACTGTGGTCTGTGCATCATTCTCTGCTCAAAGGTGCCAATGAATCACTCACACAGAGTGGGCTGAGCTGTTGCACCCCGAAAGCATTGTCTGTATAGCTGTACACCTACACAGCTCTTTGTTGGATTGTTATATCTATAGTCATACACAGTCAGCACAGTGAATCACATTACATCCCGGCTCAGCTCAGGGATGGTCACTGTCCGAGAATGATAATGTTTTCATGGCGCTATGAGCTGTCAGCTTATTCAACAAACTAAATTCTTGCAAAAGAAAGTCCGATCTCTACCAGCTGGCATGTGCTTAAAACAAAATAACTGTTATATTTGCATATCACCATGGCTGCCTTCAGCCTTTCACAATCAATCCACACCCGACACCTGTTAATTAAAATGCCTTGCTGCCCTCTTATTTACCTCAGTCAGTGTCTCCTGTGGGGTGCACTTCTGTCCTCTTAACTGGAGTCTCATCTGACGGCGTCAGCTGAAAGTTCCCTGCTCTGTAGTTGAGCGGCTACAGCAGCCATCAGATGACCTCTGAGCAACTCAAATAATTCTGTGTGTCCTCCAAAGGCTCCCATATCTCATCCTGTCAAGGATTGTTTTAAAGTGTTTCTCAGACTTTATGAGTCCTCAGTCCTCCAGCATAATTCTTTACTGACTGAATTTGAACTTGAAGGCCTTGCATTTCTTAGTGGAGTGGTTTGCTAGTACAAATTTGTAGGGCATGCCTTGATAAAATGTGTCTTTGAAGTGGGAAACAAAGTGAAAGCAAAGTATTTAAAGTGGTGAGCACAGGTCTTATTTGAGGGCTACATTTGACTAAACTAAGCATACAGGCTTGGATAATATCATGTCTGTAGTAATGTGAATAACTGAACTATTTTCAGATGAATAAGATTACCCGTGCATATCTTGATTTATAATAGTGTTAATATGTGAATCTAGCAGCTCAAGATGACATTGGCTTTTGCCTAGACAAGCAATAACATTCACATCATGCTGATCTAGTGTCCTTCCTTCGGGTTGGAGGGAATTCACCGACACAAGGCTCAACCACACCTGCTTCTTAGTGCAAAGTGTTGCTGTGCTCTGCCCTTTAATGGGGGCATACCACAGAAAATGGGGTCTTTGAGTCCTGCATCTGTCGTGGTTGGCTTCTGTTCTGCAGAATTAGCACAAGAACGTAACCAGTGACCCTTTTTTTATTCTTAGCCTGCAAAGGAAAGGTGTGTCCTTTTAGTTAGTCTGCAGGGTCACATGGCTCTGCACTGATCACACATCAAGGCGTTTTTTTTTTTTTTTTTTGCTCTAGTTAATACGCCGCAAGTATAGGAATAAAGCAAGAACACAATGCATTGTGTGACACAGGCCTTTTGTGTATTTGAACTGTGGGACGAATTTAATTTGATCCCCCTGACATGTCTTGAAGCAACAGCAATTTAAACATCTCCACTTTTATTGGTTCGTGGATGCGTGTGGATGTAATTTCTTTTGCAAATCTGGGTGAGTCTATTGCATGTCTTTTGATCCTGGGAAAGGAACCCCTCGTCTCTTGCTCCACCTGAGGCTTCCCCCATTTTTTTTTGTGGTTTTTCTTCTTATTTGAATTGAGAGATAACTTGATAACTGTTTTTGACAGAAAAGGTTCAGCATTGTGTGTTTCAGACCTTAAACAGTACATAGTTAATAGGATTGCAATCTATCTTTTTCCACCATTAATTATCTGACATTTACTTAATCAAAGGATAATGAAAGTTTATGAAGTGCCTGAAATAATGACAAACACTCATCACAAGTTTCCAGAGCTCAAACTAATGTCATAAGATTTCTTACAGATTCATTTCAGAATTAAATTAAATTCCTTTTTTTGAGTCATGCCATCCATTGAAATGTATCCAGCTCATCAGACTGAAGACTGATACTGTATTTTTAGATGGTTGCAAAAGCTTGTTTGACACATTGACTTTATTCTGAGATACTAAAATACTGTAATACACAGTGTTGACTTGGATGTATTTTACCCGTATGATTAGGATGAATATTCAGCTGGCAATCTCTATCTGCACACTGCAGATAGAGAATCTCTGTCCTGCTCAGTGAGACGCTAACAGGACGTGTTACCTACGTATGCATGTTGCTGTAGTTCCTCTAGCTCTGTCCTTGTAGCTCCTCTAATCAAAAAAACTACAAAGTCAATGCTCTCGCTGACTCTGAAGATACTAGCACATGGTGGAATAAATGTGATCTGTATTCATTGAAAGAGTCAAGAGCTGTTTGGATGCCAGCCATTTTAAAGACTTTGTGTTTGTTAAATAGTTCTTGTACACAGCTGATTACCCGCAATTAATAGATCACTGGAACGTGGCACCATTTCATTGCAGTTTTCTCTTAGTTTCAACTTTGTAGAGATTATGCTGAATTTGTGCTTCAGGAATTTAAAAGCATGCAGTCAAAGTTTAGTGCTGCAGCTTTCAAACATTTCCTCAGTGTACTACAAACATTTCCTTTCCTTTGATTGCTTTTTTTGTTTGGGAGTAGATAATCTGTGTGAGAATGTGAATGGAATTTCAATTTCAAGATCGAGAAGATCTGGAAATAGGCTAAACTAAAGGCCAAGATAAAAAAAGCACCCGGTGACTGTAGCAACATCTTGGCAGCACAAGCCTTTTGCTTCTCATTCATTCATCTGTTAAATTGATGTAACACATCCCTAATGTTGATGGGAATATTAAAATTTGTGCAGCTCTCCTTTAGGCCTCAGATACTTCAGAGATTCAAATGATCTGTAAGGCTTACATAAGTGGAGTAACATAGGAATTAAATTTGCTTGTGCACATGCATGTGTGTGTTTTCGTATGTTTACATAGTTGTCCTGGATTTAGTAGCACTGCAGTGCATTAGCCTTAAGAGTTTATATCACAAGAAGTGGACAGTTTCCACCAAGGCTTCGGGGTTGTGGACAGTATTTCCAAAGGCGGTGATAAATGGAGCTTGTTTGGTGTAACTTTCCCTCAAAGCAAGGCTATCAATTTGCTCTGAAGCAAGCAGCTGCTTTCGACTGAACTGTACTGAACCAAGGCCAGGAAGAATTAATGTGATGATGAGAGCCCTCAGTGGAGATTGAGAGGGTGATTTGGGGAACCGTGACAAACAGACCCTGCTGCAGTTGCAATTGAGTTTAATGGGTTCATTTTTTAAAATTATCAGTCTGCAAGTCCTGTACCATTGTCCCTAATTCCCTTTTAAAACACATTTTATTTAAACATTTGACTTTTGCTTCTGTATGTAGGTTTTCAGTGGAAAACATGTATAAATTGATGCACAGACAACAGTGTGAAGACAGAGAGCTCAACACTCACCACAGACCACCACTTCCTGTTTGCTTGAGTATCATTTCTGATAAAAGTTCTTATCAAGTCTCATCTATATCTACCTACAGTGAACTTAACAAGGTAAAAATGATGTGTGTCGCCTACTGAGCTGATCTGTGCACATTTTCAACACCTCATTGTCAAATTTCAGACATAAATGCTCAGTTACTTGAGTTAAACTTGGCATGTGATGATTATTCTCAACAGGAGCTTTCCCATGATCATGATCACTGAATCATGGAGGGGGGGGAGAGAAAGAGATTTTTTGGGCTTCTGTGGTGAAGCACTTGCTCATATCTAAACACTTTTGACTTCATAGTTTCATTTCTTTCTGCCTCCCACCGGTGGAAGTTGTTTTATGGGGCTTTCTGAGGCAGGGAGAACAACTCCCCCACAAGTCAGCAGCTTAACTGGCTCACCGACACGGCTAATAGACTCACAATTCATTGTAAATGTTTTAATGGGGCACAAAGAGATGTGAACTTTACTTCTGAGCTGCCACAAAGACTTTAATCACCTTGCCTGGCCCATATTGTGTGGGCAAAGTCTAAAGTGAGTGCATACCTGTCCAACTGTTTACTTACACCTCCAGCACTCCTCAGCCTCTGCAGGAGAAACCCGTCCATCGTCTTTCATGCTGTTTAAGGTGTGGCCCTCTGGTTGGATCGCTCTGTTCTCCCCTCCCCCGCTGCAGCCCTGTCCAATCCCTGCCACAGTAGAACTCACCTGAAAGGCTTTGCATTCAGGGCCAATGCTCATTGCTGATTGGCCAGGTGAAAGCACTCTGCCTCAGGGCTCCCTTACCAATGGCGACAGTGCTGCGTGACTCATAGGGAGAGGACAAGTTGCTTCACTACACTTCTCCTTTTTCTGTTTCAAACAGCAGCCATTGCATTGTCTTTTTTTCCCCCCTCCTCTTCAGTTTTGTTTTGTCGTTGTGAGAAAGTCGTGTGCGGCTGGCCAGTGGTCCACACCTTCAGACAGCCTTATCCTTGGATTATTCTTTGTTTCACCTTTTTGTTGTTTATTTTTCTCTTGATTTTCATTGGTTACGAAGATCGACACTTGTTCGGTTGCTATTATGGACCTTGTCACCCGAATCCTGTGTCTTTGAGGTTAGTGATGACTAGTTTTCTTCCTCCTCTTCACACTTTACAATATAATTAGTACTTTTTATTTGGGAGTTGTATCTGTAAGTGGACAGGCAGCTCCGTAGTTAAGTTGACATAATGCGCACCTTTGGCTTAGTCGAAGCATTTTCATTAGCACTCTTTGACATACTGAGGTTCTGTTACGGGAGTTTGAACATGTCATGCAAGTTCAATTGATATGCAGGTATTTGTCTTTTCCCCTAGCTAACTTCTCCCAAACCTACTTGTGTATCAGATGTTCAACAAATCAGCCAGTATTCATAATAATATGATTACAGGAGTTTTTATGTGAAGTTGCACATAGAAAAATGTTTTTTATTTTTTTTTATTCTTTTTATGGCTTATGCCTTGTGAGATCAAGTAATAGGTTTGAGATCTTGTGTTTCTCATTTTAAAATTTAATCAGAATTTTGTTTTTTTGCTGAGATGTCTGTTGCTTTTCTTTTATTGCAATATTGAATTATTGCCTTATATGGTGTGTTAAAGCAAGGGCGGGAACAGTGTTTTGCAACCCCCTTGACCAAGCCCACATGTATTTTTCTTGGTGTAGTAATCAGTAAATAGACATCATGTCAGTTTTGATTCATGATTCCTTTTCAGACTAGAAATCTTGTAATGTAGAGGCCCAGAAGGCCTTCATTTCAATTCACTGGGAAGTTTGAACACCGGATTTAGCTTCCTCTTTCATGCCTGTGTAAGCTGACCTTCTCTAACGTCTACTTTCCCCCCCATCAACCGGTTAAATGATTCTTCTCAGTGCTGTTCAGTACGTGTTTCTAAAAGTTGCTCAGTGCAGCAGAGATAAAAGCACGCTTCCTGTTTCATCAGAAATCTACCCTGAACTTTGTTGGCCACAGAAGACATGTGCACATACTGTTTCACAGAATGAACAGGAGGATAGTTTAAGCAACATTTACATTTCACACCCATGCTGCTTCAGCATACACCGCAGAGCTTTTTAGATATCCTAGAAAAGCCCTGAACCAGTGCAGGCTGCACATTTTCATCCAATTTTGGTCAGACTTTTTTATGCAGTTATATGCAAAATACCTAAGCCTGTGATTGTTTCATCGGCTTGGCATTCAGAATTGATTTTGTTGATGTAATGTCTGACGTAATTTTCAGTTGGGGCCTAAGAGAAGGCAACTGAGAACAGATTATTTCAGAGATAGCAAATAGATATCTCTACAGTAAACCTGATCAGTAACTGAACTATAATTAGGTGTGGATCAATCGACCTTGCACTGGAAGAGCGAATTAATTGTCTTTCTATATTTGTATTGAACACCTGCTGTAGCGTCAGCACATGACTTAGTGAGTGAATGGCTCTGTTGCGTTGAGTTTAGGTTTGACCAAACTTTTTCATTACGCTTTATGCCCACCCTGATTTGGATTGTAAATGAGGCCTCGATGCCTCAGAGGATGGACTCATATAGTAGCTTCTGTTTACTGAAGCCCTGTGCGTGTCTCATTCAGAGAACACAGAGGCTGGTGTGGAGAAGAGGGGGGTGGGGGGGCGGGCGAGTGGGCTGGACAGTAGTGTCAGGTTGGCTCCTCTTTCAATACAAAGTCAACAAGTCTTAACCTGTAATTAGATCATTAGGCTTGGGCAAGATGACGGAGGCGTTGCAACAAGAAGGAGTAGGAGGCGAGGTGGAGTTTATTACTAGAGCCCCAGCGCGCTGAGATATGTAAAAATGGATGATTTATTCATTTTCATATTACAGAGTCAACTTTGTGTGGTCAGGTAAAAACACTTTTAACTGGAATGGAATAAACGTGGAGGCAGCTTCAGTTTCACGTGGTCAGATACAAACTGTTCATTATCACAAAAAGGATCAAAAGTATTTCTTTCTTTCTATACATATCTACATTTCTGTTGGCAGCAACAAGGCAAATATGGTGCATTTGTGCAGACTTACTATTTTACTGATAGAAAGACAGTGGCATAAACAAGCTTTAACTCACCCTGTTTGGACATAATATGAAAACCAAGTGGGGAAATAGTTGGTTTTAAGTTAGAACTGATATTTTGTTGGAAGAATTATTTCTTTCTCTTTAAGCAGATTTTTGTGAACAAATGAAATATCAGCTTGATCATTCACCATTTCTGATTAATGGTCCCATTTATTGAAAGGGATGCGGGAAACCAATTGACTCATAGTGAATAAGTAGATAAACATCTTGTTTGCCCACGGTCGTTATCTTTTAATACACCTGGCTGGAAAATATTAATATGAGAAAGCAGAGTCAGAGCTTCTGTCCTGTTTTGATGGTTTTCTTGGCTGTATTATATTACTCATGGATGGATGGATTTGCATCATGTTTCCATGTCAGTTTCTCCATTTCTTCTTTGCCATTTTAATTTCCATAGCACTCTCTATTTCTGGAGTGGATGGAGGCTTAAAGGTTGGAGAAGTACGCTTGTGACGGGAAGCCTGAGCTCCTGTGACCAGCTGGGAAAATCTGGGTGGGGAAAGTTAATGTGTAACACTCTCCTCCGTCTTAACGGCTACCGTCGCACTGTACTGTATCTCCAGGTGCTCCAAGACATAGCTTTACTCAGCAGGTCAAAGCCACTTGGGTATCTGTGTCCATATGCTGCAGGTACACTCAGGAAAACCCTCCCTTGATAAATAAAGTTAAATAGATTGAGCAACTGTCTCCTTATGTTGCAACTGTCTCATACTCGGAGCGTGCTGGGACTGGCAGCCTGTTGTTCTGGAGTACATGTCGAATCAGTGATGTGATCATCATATCTGAGTCCAAAAAAACATAGTGTGAAGTCTTTCTCTGTCCAGACAACTTTCATTTTATCCCTGAAAAATGTTTCTTGATTTGTATCAGAAAAGCAGTGATCATGCTTCTTTCTTCTTGACTCTTTTTCTTCAGATTTATTTCCTGAGAACTGAAAAGGATGTGATGTAATACAGGGCTTTTCAGTCAATATAACCACCCCCCTGTTCCAACTCTGGATGGCTTACGTCTTGTCAGTGATTTTTATTTTTATGTTCAGTGAAGTGACAAAACTTTGAGTGCACTCTACACCATGTAACTAAAACAATTTCATATCTTTCATTTTGATAAAAACTCTGCCGCATATTAACATTCTATTTTATAACATGAACAAACCTTAAAACCACCAGGAACTGTCAAAGTTGTGAGGTCCCAGCCCGTACTGGTTGAGACTCCAGAGTTGGGCCGGTGTATGTGAGTCATAACAGCCAAGAGCGTCATGTTTTCAGATACAGAGAGAGAGAGAGAGAGAGAAAGAAAGAAAGTGTGTGTGTGTGAGAGAGAGAGAGAGAGAGAGAGAGAGAGAGCGAGATGATATGTGGAATATCAGGTCACACCTTTTGATAACACTCCTGGTTATGCAATGTACCATGCTGGTCAGGGCGCAGATACTGTCTGTTGTTAACATGGCTGCAAATAGGTTCACTTATCACATATTCAACACAGTGTATCAGGCTCAGTGGTGGAAAGTAACCAAACATTTATCCAACCGCTGTACCTAGGTACAATTTTGAGGTACTTTACTAAGGTTTTTGCACTTTATGCTGCTCTATACCTCTACCCCACTACATTACAGCGGGAAATATTGGATCTATAAATATATAAATATTGGCTGCACCACAAGTATGTGACATTTGCACAGATATTTTTCAGATTAGGGCTTTGCATACAAAACGATAAACAGTAATGACTTTTGAGAGTTGTCAAAATTAGCTACATGTTGACCAGCTACAACATTAAAATGTTAATGCACCAGTAATAATAAGATAATAAGATAATATATAATACAACAGCACTGAAAAGGGTTACTCTGCTGCTGAATGAGTACTTTAGAAACATTTTGAATGCAGCCTGTTTCCGTGTAGTCAAGTATTTTTACACTGTGGCTCTAATGCCACCACTGATCATACTGGATTTACAATTAAAAGTGGATGCAAAGTGCTTCCCATAAATTTCTAAATAAAAATGACTCTGCTTGTTAGTGGATACTGTAAAATTCAGCAAGAAACCGTGAAAGATACTTAAATCATGATTTATTGTAATGACCAAACATTGTTTTGAGACTGTGGCTGCAGTTCATGCAACTAACTTTAAAGTTTATTATTATACTGAAGTATTTTCTCAAGCGAATAACTTTACCATGGAAATGTTGATAATTAATGTATGTTGATAAAAGTTTATCTGTCATAAAAGCTGCTCACTGAGCTTGTGTGGGTGGAGGCAGGTTTGATGTGCAAGTGTATTTCGCTCCAGATAAAAGCAGCATGCAGAGCCTCATAAGAATTTCCATTCCTTGCTTCTGTTGAGCTCTGCTCTCTGTTTGAAGCACGGTCATCTGTGACTGTGTAATGTGTAAATACAGGAATATGATACATGTATGACTTTCCTAACTGCCAGTTGACAGCTATAAACTGTGAGCACTATATAATGCAGTGGCCTGAAAACATACTCACAGAGCGATGTTTTTCTTTCCAATTATACGGGTTCCACCCTGCGTGAGGGTTCCATCATGCACAAAATAAGCTCTCAACTGTGAGATGGATGTGAACGTAAAACTGACATCCTCAGTGAAATAAGTTTGAGCTGGTGTCTCCTGCCAACTACTTCACACTCCCTCATGCTAATTTAAACATCGTGTTGGCTTTAGTGCAGTATCACTTGGTACAAAGAGGTATTCTGACCCAGGCACAGAGAGAAATTGATTTCCCACATGGTTTTCAGAGGCTTTGGTCCCAGACACCCAGCTGCAGTGGTGTCTGTGTCTGGAAGCTTCAGCAGCAGGCTGTCATATGGAAAACTGGCCATGCCCATAATGACTCCAGCATTCAAATAATCTGCTGAACTCCTGTCTCAGTGGAAAGGTCTTGGTTGTGCAGGCCAGAAAGTTTATTTATTTCTTCAATTATTTATTTTTGCTTTGAAACCTTGCCTGCTTTTCCTTTTTATGC